ACTTATACTATATTAAAATATATTAATTATAAAAATTAGAAATATATTAATTATAAAACTTATAAAATATGTAAATCTCACATTAAATAAATCTATGATACTATTATAGATTTATTAAATGTAAGATTTACCTATTTTATAAGTAATATAATTAATATATTTTTTATAGTATAAGTAATAATAATATATTTCTTATAGTATATGTATATTATCAAATATATAACTTATAGAAAATGTTAAATCTTATATTTATATTATGCATTTATAAATGATATCTAAAGTTTATACATAGTAGTGTCACTTAGTAAAACCTTACTAATAGTAATATTATCACTTAACAAAACATAATAATCCTATGTTTTGTTAAGTGATAATATTTATAACTTGAGTTATATTATAAATATTATAACTTAAATTTTAATTCGTAGTATTAGGTTTTAAATGAAAAAATATTTGAGTAATTTATATTGTAAATTATTTGTAAATAATAGTATTTAATTTAAAATTTGGCAAAAACTGTGTGTGGTTTCCACTCATATTTGTGGTTTCCACTCGCCATTTTTTCTGGGAGCCACGTTATACCAATATACCATTTTTAACGGATCTTTGCCACTTCTTGCTGCCATGCACATGATTGTGCGATGGTGACGTTCAACAATTCCATTTCCAGATGGCCTGTACGCGCAACGAAACAGGATGGACACTCCCCAATCTGCGCATAATTCACCAACGAGTTTTGAGCGAAAGATCTTGCTGTTGTCAAGAAGAACTTGCCACGGAGGTCCTCTTTCTCGAAATATTTTTTCTAGATGGAAACATACTGTTGCTTCTTTCTCGTTTTGTAGCTTCCTTCAAATTGCAAACTTGCTCCTTTTGCCACAGTCGATGATAGACAAATAAATCTCTGATTTATAGTGGGTAACGTCAATAGCTAAACGGTACCAGCTTTTTCCAACTTCAAGATTTCCTTTATCCAAACTGATTGGAGCAGGATCTATCGATAAACAACTTTCGCAACTTTTTATGACTGATTTAATGTCTTTTCTACAATCTTTCTCCTTTGGATTTGTCTGTTTCATCAAATAAAGGGTTCGATTTACTCCAAAGTGATGAAGATTATGAAACGACTTCACATCAGGCGGTACAAGATTTGCTGTCATTGCAGAATGGTTTGAATGCAGCCAATTCTGTGGTACCCTCGTAAAAGCATTGGCTTTATTTTCTGCTGACTTAACCAGAAAAAGTTTTAATTGTATACCACACTCCTTCACAAGGTCTTCAATTAACGACAACTGGCGACGGACAAGTGGTTCTCCAAGACCGTGTACTTGAATGGGTTTGTCACCAATGATTAAGGATTTCAACCAGCCAACAACAGTAGCCGAGTCGCACTTTATGGTAATACATTCGAATCCCCATTTTGTTGCTAGATTGATTCCTTTTATCACAGCTTCTAAGCTGCATCATCTTGTTTTCTCAGCCACGAGCAGTCTTCTACTATTTCCCCAGCCACTTCCAGAACTATGCCAACAGCTAAACTGCTTGCATCGCACCACACTGTTACTTCAGAAGTGTTTTTTACGTTCCGTGACCCATGAACGGGATCTTCCTTTGTAAGTCTTTCATTTAAACTGCTTACTAATTTGACAACACGATCGTTCACCAAAGTGTCTCATCCACAACTACTCGAAACCCTTTTTAGATAGCTGCACGAAGGGCGCAACCATTTTGCTATTGGAAAATGTCCAGTCAGCTGTCCACACCAAGAAAAAATTTTCCGACTTTGGGTATGTTGTCACGTTTCCAACGCACTTGGTTGTTTTGTTTGTACACTCGCAATCCAAGCACACGCTCATCGACAAGTTTTTCTGGCAGCTTAGAATCCAAGCCATATTTTTTCAAGAGTTCTTGAACTCTACAACTTGACACTATGTTATTACTGACAATGATGTCATCAATAAATGAATCCGTCCCAGACTCGACAACTTTGTCTAAGGATAATACCTTTTTTAAGATTTTTGTCATTATTTTGGGCGCCACATTTAAACCAAAACCCAATCTTGTTAGACAATATCGCTGCCCTTCATATTCCACAACTTGATATTTCCATAATGCTTCGTTGACACGAATCTGCAGATACGCTTTTTTTAAATCAATTATCTCAAGATTTTCTCCCAACATTTTCCAGTTGCGAAGTTTGGTACTGCAAACATCGCTATCTGCAGTATGACTGGATACAAATTGATTCAGCTCCCGGTAGTCCATCACCGAACGTACTTTTAATTAGTTTCGTTGAATTACTGTCATCAACGGAATGATGCCATTACATTTCCCTTCAAACGGTTTCAGCCATCCCTGTGCTATCCATTCACTTATTTCCGTTGCATACTCACTTTTAACTTCTTCAGAGATGTGATAGTTTGGAATTTTGTTTGTTAAAGTTGGTGGTTCCATCAGCCATTTCCAAGACACGCTCCAGCTGCCATTTTTGAATTCTGCTACGAAGTCTTATCAATCAACTTTTGAACAGTAGGCGTGGATACTTCATTTGTTTTTCCTTGAGAGACTGCAGTAGCGCCGATAGTTAGTTGCTCAACATTAAAGTTTATGGTTTCACCGTCTCTCCCAACTTGGACACCTCCGAGCAGTCGTATTGCGTCCATACCAAGTAGCATTTGATATTCGGGAACAATGTTGGCAACCAGGCATTCCAAATCGATGGTGGTATCATTTATAGAAAGATTAACAACAGTCTGGTATTGTACTTCAATTGACTTTCCATTCATCATAACAACCTTTTCGCTTGCATGTCTGACATTTTTTGGGTTTACAATATCCCGACTTAAAATTGATTTGGAGCATCCAGTTTCTAACAATGCTTTTATTTTTCTTCCATTGACATATACGCGGAGAGTTGGCGATTTTAAATTTTGTGGGAAGCCGCTCGCACAAAAACGGGTGGCTTCCCTTCCACGTTTTTTGAGTTCGTACACCTTTTATAGCAGTACTGGGCCAGGTGATTGTCCATTCCACACACAAAGCACCTCTTTTTATCAATCTCTTTGCTGCAATTTTGACTGATATGTCCATCCTCACCGCAACGGTAGCACGTTATGATCTTTTTTCCGCGTCTTTTAGGAACCTGTTTTGAACTAATGGCAACCGGATTCACGCAACTGACAAAACACGATTCTTTGCGACGTATAATTACTAAACTTCTGGATTTTTCAGCAATCTGGCACAGCGACATTGTTGATATTGAGCATGCAGTTTGCAGCTGTTTTCTTGCTTCGTCAGGTAATCCAAGAATAAATGCGCACCTTATCCACTCTTCGCTTACGCGAGATGATATTAGCTTGCTCAGTCTTGTTAATTCTGCGAGATATACGTCAACGGACTCATTCTCTTTAAGACGGCGATTTACAAACTCTTCGTATGCTGTTAGCAAAGAAGCAGAGAAGGTAGTAGTCAGTGCAGTTTTCACTTCGTTGTAGTCTTCTTTTATCTCATCACTTAGGCCTTGATAAAAGGCAAACGCTCCACCAGAAAGAAATAAGGGGAGCACCACATGCAGCTCGTCAACTTTTTGAAGTTTGCTACCAGTTCCAATTTCTGTATCCATTCTAAAAAATCACCCAAACCATCGTATTGTGAAACCAGATCCGCAAACTTTATAACGATACTCATTGCCGAAATAGCTTGTAATAATAAAATATATTTGTTTTTTCTTACTGTCTTCTGAATATCTCTTCTCAATATTTAAACATTTGCAAAATACCCCCGAGAGTATAGTAAACAGTATAAACGTTATGTACAATATAATATATACGACGCGCCCACAACATTCCTTCTGACGCAACACGTTAATAGTTTATATACAATACAATTATTTACACTAATTACAATAATAAAATGATTAACTGCTCAGTTAACTATAACAACTGGATCCCAGCTGGAATGTAACTGGATTAATGAAACTGAGTTATTGCTGGGATTTGAACTGGGTAAAGATGGGTCCCATATGGTGCAACAATTGCGGCAAAAATTAAGCTTGAAAATATGATAAAATCTTTTAAAAGGACATATACAGTAACACAGCTTGATTTGGATTGAATATACTCTTGCATTTGGAGTGAACAGAAACTCAATTTGTTTCATTTTTAGTATTTTTGTAAAAAACAATTATTTACATATCAGTTTTAATTTTACATTAATAGTATAAATATTTTAGTAGCAATAATTAGCCATTCATTTAACAAAGGAAAAAAAAAACAAAACGCGGCATACCCTTAAACTTCTTAAATGCTCTAAATTTCATAGCCATTAATAAGTTTGAGAGTGAACGTTTACTTTTTTACAGACTTCTAAAATGTTTTATCAAACTAAAGGCATAATTTTCATTTTTTTATGCGATAGACAAATGTTGAAAATTTTTTAAATTAGTTTATATGATTTGATGTGCTTACAGTTATGGCTCAATTTAAATTATCTTTTTCAAGCAAATTTCAATGTCTTTTTACAAAATATGGTAAGGTTTTACTGAGTAACACTGCCATATCTAAATTTTTCATATTATTTATAAATACATTCATGTTTTACATTTTCTATAAGTTATATAATTAATAATATAATACTTATATTATAAATACTGTAACTAATATTATAAGTTATAATATAAGGTTTTATATGAAAAAATTTATTAAATACATTTTTAAATTCTTAAAAATATAAAAGTGTATATATTTTGATAGCAAAATTCAGACATTTGTTTAAGAAACAATTTAGCTGAGAAAGATGTTTTTTAGTTGATTACCACAGGATGTTTTATTTTTTTAGAATATGTTGTGAAATAAATTAAATATACAATCATATAATGCTACTCAAGTACAATATAATATTGAAAATGTAGTTTTGATACTAAATATTGCAAAAACTGAATGTTTGAATAATCATGAATGATTTGTATTTTTCACTTGCTATAGTAAGTCAATTTTAATTGTATTATTATATGATATCATATAGTTGTATATAATATGTTTATTTACAAAGTTATAAAAAAGATGTCAAATTATTTTGGTAATACACTTTTTATTTATGTTATTTTTGTATAAAATTTTATTAAATTTTAACTTTTAATAAAACTCAATAGTATATATGTTTTGTTTTTAGAGTTGGTTTGTGTTGATTTATGATTAACAACAGAAAATATATTACTTCAACAAATATTAGTTTTTTACACATAAAAGTTATTTAAAATCCCATATGAAATGGTTCATCTAAATCTAAAAAAGTTTAAATTTAATCTAACAACATTATTTTGAACATTATTGTTTCAAAAAGTTTAGGAAAGTTTTACTTTCCCCAAGTTTTAATATCTCAAATTATTAGTTTACACAGTTTAATAAAATAAATAAAATAACTTCTGTATATTAAAAATATATAGAATTTGCAAAATATACAGGTTTTCCTATTATTGACTTGGGCTTCTGTGAATGGATAAATTCTGTGAAAAGAAGATGGATTGTGAATTGCTTGGAAATGTGAATATTATTATGATAGCACATATTTTTAGATCAAGAATAGTTTGTTTTACATTATTTTCATGAAAAGTTTATTAATATTTATGATTAAAAAAACTTTTAAAAAACTGCATATGCTGTAATGTGGCATGGTTTGGAATAAATATACATTTGAAGGACTTTTCGCATAAACTTCATTTGGTACCTTAATGGTAGTTTGTTTTTATTTTTACCTTCATTTATCTGTTGATTAGTAGAATAATATTTAATAGTAATAATATTTATATATGGTAAAATATGTATGTTATTTATGCAATATAATTTCAATAGTCAATTTTTTAATAGTTTAATGGCAGCATGTATTGTCATATATCCATTCTGCCATTGTCACAATGTAGTAAAGTTTAAAAGTTATCTAAGTAAAATGATTTTTTAAACCAATTTATTAGGGTGTTGTATATTTTGTCAAATCTGCAGTGAAATAAATTTAATATGTCATCACAAAAGGTAGCTCAAAGAAAACATAAAATTAAAAATATTTTGGTCCACGATAATTGAAATATGTTATGTTTGACTAATCATGAATATACTATTATTTATATTAATATAAGTACTCTACACTTGTTTAGAATTGTAAATTTTTACTGTGAAAATAATTTTAATAAAAAATTTATTGAGGTCAAAACTACAATTGTTTTTATTTTTTTTTCAATATGTTTAAATTGTAACAAATAACTATTTTCAAGTAATAATGTAACCTAAAATGATTATTATTAAATTAAATATAATCAATATCTTAGTGATATTGATTATTTTTGCATTTACTAAATTATGTAAAAGATATTAAATCCTCACCAACTGATTTAAGGGTTAGATGTCATGTTAACTCAAATAAACTACTTTAAATTTTAAATGTTAACATAGTAGTCATGTTATATTGTTGTTGTTTATAAGTCTATTTATGTCATGCCTAATTAATAACATAAAATATTTACCGTAAAATAACATTGTTTTAGATTCCCTTCAGGATGCCTGTTTAAAAGAAAAACTGAAGAAACTTTAAAACTAGATGATGGCAACTGAAGAAGTTGAAACACCGTTATTCATGGTGTCATATCGAGGCTTCAGTTCTCGAGTATTTATTTTTGTATTTTATTATTTATGTTATGTTTACTTTATTTATTTTTTTATGTTATTTTTGTAACAACAAACTGAGAATAATTAATCGTCCTGCCCTGAGCCTCTACTTCAATCTGGGTAGGGTTATTTTAGTTATAACACGTATATCGATTTATATACTGTATTGAGTTATCTTGTGATTTGTACATGTGTTTTTGTTTGCCTATTGTTTGTTAGTTATATGCAAGATACGGCATAGTATGCCACACTGCATGGTATGCCCTATATGATATTATCAATAAACATTTTTATCTATACTTTGTAAATATATATGCTATTAATTATTATATTATTAAAATTTTAATTTTTAATTTATAAAATTAGTGTAAAAGTGAATGAAAGCACTAAAGAAAGCGAATAAGCTTTAAAGCAGAATTTTGTCATGCGATTATGGTGGCGATATGAGAGAACTACTGTGGTAGAATATATTAATATCGTAGAACAGTTTTGCATCAAATCATTGTATAATATTAGTTTTTTGTTGCTTAAAAATTTAAGGAAATTCAAATATGTTTTTTCGATTAATTCGTAAAAATTATGTGAGACCAAATATTAATTTGCCTAATACATTTTATAGCCCTGACAGAGAATTTAATATAGATAATATAAATAACCTTTTCTTTTTAATTTTATATAAAAAATGCGACGCTTTTTAATCAAAAAATTGTCATATTATTTCGCAGATTCGAGATAGAAAAATTCTGCGAAAAATAAACTATAAAAAGTTGAGAAAACCCGCGGTAAAGGAAAAAAATATATGGGTTCAATATGGGATTTCCTGTCAAAAACCCAGACTAATCCCATATGGGACCCAGTTGGATCCCACTGACTGAATTGCAATGGGTCCCAGCGTTTTCCCCAGTTGGAATGGTTAACTGGGTTGTTTAATTTTTTTAAAATTAGCTTTTTTGTTTAAAAAATATATTGGTTTAAAACGCAATACCTACTACTAAGCACCAGCGTTACCGCAATGCGATTATGTGCGGCCGTGGCGCAGCACAGTGTATCGCTTCATACAAGCTAGGTGGACCAAAGTCATATCAAGTAATCGACTAATTGATAATATTTTCACAATAACAGTCCTACTTTAGTAATAACTTGCGGTGTTAATTATGAAAAACACTCCAGAGCAATGAGTCATAAGCAATTATAAAGGCGTTAAAATGTAATTTTGTTTTTGAAAAAAATTAGTTAAAAATTTACAATGGTTGCATTAACATTTAAGAAGAATTAAAGAAAGCAATCATTTGAATGCAGCAATGGATTTTACTTTTGAGGGTAAGTACTATTTAATTATATTGAATGTTTTATTTAAAAGTTAAGCAATATGTGTTAAAATATGGTTTAAAAAACTGCGTTAAAATTGTAAAATATTTTTTGGTTTTTAATTTTTAAATTTATACAACTTTTTGTATCCACATGTATCCAAGCTAATTTATTAACAGTGTATACACATGTATCCAAGCTAATTTATTAACAGTGTATAGCTAAAGTTCTGAGGTGCACAACAAAGAAAAATTTTCACCACATAAATATACAATTTTTTGTTATTAAATTTCTTTTAGATCATGTGCGCTCTTTTTCAAAAATGGAGTTATTTGAAGAATGGCAAAGACATAATCAAGAAGAAAGAAATTCTCGTTTATTGGATTTTATTTTGCAAAGATTTGGTGTTACTGATGTAACTGATGTGACGAGATTCTGAGAGGTCTTTGCAGTTAAAAATTTCATGTATGACTTCAAAATTCGCAATAAAATGGTCTGCAATACATATGATGATGGACCGCTTTTTAAACAAAAATAAAATTTGGTTAGAGTGAGCAAATGTTGAATTTAAAGTAAGTATATACCAGCAATGTACTTTTTCATCATCTGGAGAAATTCAAGGACGACCAAAAAAGAACTTTGAAGACTCGTCCTTTAAAACCAAAAAACGAAGGGTTGAAAACTTTGTAAAATCGCAAAGTGCAACTGAGTTGACGACAGCTGCTGAAATAGCATGCCGTGTGTTGGGGCACAGAAACTAAGCTACTTTAATCAGAAAAAGTCTGGAATCATCAGAATTATAATTAAATTAAATCAAAAGACTTTATTTGTGGGGGCAGGCAGTTAAATTGTGACGAGGCAATAGCTTATTACATTGACTCTAAATGTACAATTCATTCTTATAAACAGACGAGAAAGTGGTCTTTAAGGGCAGGGCATATATTATTTCCATCTAATATAGTCTATGCAAGTCGAAAAAGTTATGTTATCCATTAGATGAAGATATTTCTTATACAGAAACACGTGCTGAAATTAGCCTACAAGCTATACTTGATAAAACTACTGAACGCCTAATTGAAGCCCAATGCGATGTTCTTAAAATTATTACTTTTACTACGTCATTCACACTCATTAGCAAATGGGGATGTGATGGTAGCTCCGTCACAGCACATACCAACAGATATTTAAAAACTCTGATGCTACTGATGAGTTTCTGTTTGCATTTTCATTTGTTCTGTTGAGACTGAGTGATGGTCAAAGTATTATTTGGCAAAATCCACGACCTTCATCCACGCTTTTTTGCCGACCAATTAAATTTATTTTTTTAAAAGAAACAAAACTTTTAACTACAACAGAAACTAATTAAGCTTTAAAAGAAGTTTCTCAACTTTTTCCAACATCTATAAGACTCAACAAATCTCAAATTACTGTTAAACACGACCTAATACTATCAATGATAGATGGAAAAGTTTACAATACCTTGATTGACACAAGTTCTCAACAAAAATGTTACATATGTGGTGCAACTCCAAAAATGATATACGGTGAACTAAAAGACATTATGGTTTTGGTCTGTCTACTTTGTATGCGTGGATTCGTTTTTTTGAGTGCATGCTACACATTAGCTATCGTTTAGATATAAAAAAGTGGCAAGTTAGAAGCGCTGAAGTTAAATCTAGTGTCCAAAAACGTTCAGAAGTTATCAAACAAAAATTTAAAAAGCATATGGGCCTTATTATAGATAAACCAAAACCTGGCTTTGGGAATACAAATGATGGAAACACAGTTCGCAGGTTTTTTATTAAGCCAGAGTTGAGTGGCGAGATTACGAGTTTAGGCATCAATCTCATTAAAAATTTCAGTATTTTATTAGAACACTTTCCTCTGGCTATGATATTAACTATTATAAATTTGGAAGGTTTTATTTGGAAATCAAAACTCTTTATATTAATCTGTATCCGTGGTACTATATGCCTGTTAATGTGCACAAAATACTTGTACATAGCACGGAAGTTATAAAAGCATGCCTCCTTTCAATAGGACAACTATTGGAAGAGTCTCAAGAAGCCCGCAATAAAGATTTTCGTCGATTCCGCGAACACCATACCAGAAAAACTTCACGTATTTGCACAAATATAGATTTGCTCAATATGCTTTTAGTAAAATCAGATCCTGTCATCAACTCACACAGAGAATTGTCAAGTAAAAAAACTGGTAAACTACCGTTGGAAGTTTTGAATTTAATTATCCCACCTATAATACCACCACAGCTTGTTCAAAATAGAATTATGTGTGACGATGAAGATTATTTAGAGTCCGATTTATCGGGTAGTGAAAATAACAATGATTCATCCGATAATGATTAATTAATAATTATTAAAGTATTTTTTTATTTTACGTAGTGTAGTGAGTATATTTTTATATTTTGTATATTTGTAGTGAGTATATTTTTATTTTAGGCAAAATTTTTTTACATTATTCATGTGTTGAAATTTAGTATTTATTTTATTATTACTTAATTATCTTTTTCAAGACAAAAATTATAAAAACTTAAAAGTAATTAAAATATCGCCTTTTTTACAATAAAATTAAAAAAAAAAAAATACTTTTTATATTAAAATTGACATTTTGACGTCCCTTTAAGCTTAACCGCGCGGGGTAATTGCCCCCTGCCTCCCCCAGTTTACCATACTGCATAACTAATCAATAAAACACCAAAATATTGTTAACTACATTCTTAGAAATGAAGTTATAAAACAAAATATTTTTGTCCACCTAGCTTGTATGGAACGATACACTGTGCGCAGTGGTTAGAGCGCGTGCTTTATAAGCGGAGATTCAGGTTCGTAACGAGACTTGGACATATTTTCGCGTCACGGTAAGGAAGGAGGCGTGAACTTCCTGGATAAATGGACTTCCGCAGTATTCTGTGACAAGACCGTCAAGTCTTCTTGGGGGACCTAAAAAAACAACAACAACAACAACAACAACAACAAAATTTTTGTGATAAATTTCGATTGCGATTTTTAAAAAAATGAATCACGGGCGGTTATTTACGATTGCGGTACTTTAGTTAGAAAATTGCGATGCAATTTTTTTCGATTACGATTAGCCGCTAACTAATCAAAATGCATTTTTTTTTCAATTAACGAACAAAAAAATTGCAGCGATTACGATTAAATCGCGTTTTTATCGTTATTCTCGCAACATACCGCAGTTTTATCAAAAAATTGCTGTTTCTTGCAAAGATCGCTAATATCGTCTAATATTTCCATAATCTCTAGAAATCCAATTTAGCAATTAATACTTATTGTTATTCTCGCAATTAATAGAAAACTCGCAAAAAAATCCAAGTTCCCAGTGGGCACAGACGTAAAAAAGTTGTCTTTTAAACGTCTTATACACGTTTTGGACGTCTTTTGAACGTCTTTTGAACGTTTCGAACGTCTTTTAAACGTTCAAAAAACGTCTTTTTTTAATCCTGTGCCCACTGGGTTACTAATTAAAAAAAAGTAAAAACAGGACTTTGTTTCATTTATGATTACATAAAAAAAAAAAAAAAATTATTTATTTTAATATATTTTAGGAAGATGTCTGTGATATAGATTTTCTACAAATGCGAAGTCCGACAAATGGCAAAAAAAACCGCAAAACTAGTGGAAATTTTTTTTTTAAATCGGTGATTCGATAAATTGCGAAGAGATTTTTAAAGAGCAAAATGCTGCGCGATATATTGCGCGTTAATTTTTATCTAAACAATCGCGTGTGAAGCATAGCGATTTTTATCGCTATTTACAGCATAATCGAAAAAAATTGCTTTTGTGCTAACCGCCCTTGCGGTAACGCTGGTGCTTACCTACTACGCCTAATGAATAACGTTGCCTGGTAACAAAGTATATATATTTTTTATTGCTATTATTATCATTATTATTGTTATTATTTTTATTGTTGTTATTGTAATTACTGTTATTAATATCATTATTATTATAGAATAATTTTAGTAGAATAATTTTATTTTAATTTTTCTAATACTCACTTTATTAGGACTTTACATTCTGGCAGAGGTAATTTTTTGGTTTTTTAAATCTTTACCGCAACATTGAAGTTAAACTTAAATTAAACTTCCTCAAGCGACTTAACAACAGAAACGTCAA